ACGGGCATAGCCCTTCTTCCTCCCAACTGTTGCGCTTGCAGAAACTTTTCAAACACACTTGCTTGTTGGGATCGCAGCGCTCGATGGATGGATTTGCCAAAGTGGCTGGAGATCAACAAAGACCTGAAAGAAGCACAGGATGTTTTTGCACCTTTGCCTTTGTAGGCTTGTACAAGAAGACCTCCCTTGTACATGAGGGGCTCCTGTCCCAGCAAAAGCAGCTTCCACAAGATAGCAATGTTGGCACGTGCACATTTAGTCGGAGCATAGTGGCACACCTCTCCTGGGATTCCATCCGGCCCGACCGCCTTGTTGCACGCCACACGCCTGAAGGCCAGCTCCAAGTCTACTAAAGTCGGCATATGTCGGACATCAGTCATGATCTCTGTGGGTTGCATTGCGACCATTGAGGAAATCCAGTCTTCTCGTAGTTCAGCTTTTGATTGTCTTTGTCCACCTTCCATACTGGCAAAGAAGGTGATCCAAGCCTCCAAAGCTTCAGTAGGTGAACGGCATAGTACATTGTCCTTGTTGTAGATCATGGGTATGGTCTTCTGCTTGGCCTTTTTGGGGTTGGTCAGCCCAGTGAAGTCTCTCATAAGATGGAGAATACCACTGGCTGACGTGTGCTCATTAACTGTCGAAAGACGTTGCTGCATCAGATTGTGCTTGGCCAAAGTGATCTTTGTTCTAACTCGTTTTCTGTATGAGACATACCCTGCCATGTTGTGGAGCAGGCCAGTGCGCAAGGTGCTGCCATACTGAAACTCCTCAAAGGCGGTCAATGAACTACTTCTGCTGCTCCAGGCTTTGAAAACGCTGGCTAAACATTCTCTGCTCAAAAAGGCACGGGTTTGCTTGAGCTTTCTGCGAAATTGCAACAAACATCGGCGGTCATCCCAAATGTCATCTGTGAGATATGGCTTTTTGGGCATGCTCCGCTTCTGTGTTGAAATTGCATGGAGTGCAGACTGGACTTGTTGTCGGATGCTTTTCTCATGTTGTTCAATATCTGTCGACCATTCCGGTATGATCAGCGAGTCCAGTGCCGTCCGCATGCGATCAGGAATCTCAGCCGCAGACCATTCAACACTTGGCTGGGACCTTGTAGGAGTTCGGCATTCTCTCAACTCTTGCCATCGGAGTTCCAGACCAACTGCATGATGATCATCTCTGCTTGTTGCAAGGTCTAAATCATGAAGAACCTGCGACCACGTACATGAAGATAACCATGTAGAAGGCACAGCAACATAGTCAATGCAGTGTGTGGTCGCACCGTCGATTGCTGTCCATGTGTCACGTTCTCCCTGATGGATGCATGTAGTTGAAGGCAGACTCATGTCAAATGCTCGCAGACATGCCCTCCACAAATCTGTGTTTTTCGATGTACGGAGACCTTGCTGGAACACGGCCTGGTTGTCAGATGTGCCCGGCTCAGCATTGGCATCTATCATCCAGAAGCATGGTCGTTGATCAAGGTGTCCTCGTAAGATCTCAGTGGTGAATGCCCACCATTGACTGCGTTCTTCTTTTGGTCGTCCGGAGTGAGGCCCGTGTCCTACAAAAAACCAGCAATTGATGTACTTGTTCTCCGCCCGAACCAGCAGCCTTCTTGGATCTCGGTGTATCACCTGGAAGTCTGAGGCTGCGAAGTAGGCTTTCCCTCCAATGGTTGTGGTCGCAATCGGCTGTTGGAGATTCACCCACAGTTCAACTCCGCATTGCTTCTCTGCATGACCACCACTGATACGCAGTATCTTGTATGAAGTCGTGACTCCCTCATCCGATCTGCTTTCTTGGACTCCCAAAACATGAAGACCAAAAGACTGCATCTGTGCATATAAGTAATGCAATTTTCCGGAGTGTCCTTGTGGGCCTCGTGACAGAGACAACACATTTGCAGATGCCATGCTCAAAGTGCAGTCAAAAACCTCTGTGTGTCCTTGTCCATCATGTCCTTCTTCACATGGGTGGGAGGACGGCAACTTCGGCAGCTCGACTGCAAGATGTCCATCTCGCCATGGGGGTAGTCCACTCTCACTGGCGAAGCACAACCATAGATGTGGAAAAATGTGCTGCCACTTTTGTAGATCAAGGTCAGCTCGGCGATGAAGAAAGCTTTGCTGTCCTTCTCTTTTGGCGGCTATGTCCACAAACTCGTTGTACGGATCGCCTGCATGCGCAGTGACATGGTGAAGGCGAAGATGGCCTTGTGGTAATCCATGTTCCAGTGCTTGGAAAATGCCCCTTAACATTCTGTATGAAGGGTCTGCATCGCCCGTGCCTGCTAAACCGAACGCTTGTCGTCCACATGTCAGTGAGTCACAGCAAAATATGGTTGGGGTGATACTATCTTGTGTGAGCCTCCAAATCCCCGACCAAATCAGCGCGTCACGCTCAGCGACTTCTGCCCCAATCCTCGTTGCATGAGTGTAACAGGAGCCATTGGCGTCATACCTCACTGGGTGTGTGCACCAACCAATGGGTTCGACCAAAGATTGACCATCTTGTAGGAACTTCTCACCGAGGACAAGCATGGCCCATGTATCAGGTACACCTAGCTCATCGACCCGTTCTGGGGCAATCCGACGTAGTGTGGATTGCGAGGAACCATCGGTGTAAATGAGCCATCGGTCATACTTCTGCTGCGTGCGCGTGGCATTCACCTTCTCCATGACAAAGTCAGGAAGATCAATGCCCTCAAAACTGGTCTGAAGAAAATGCGCACCAGCATCAACAAGCTCCTGGACATCTTGATCATTGAAACCTGTGGTGATGCGTTGTGTGGAGACCTCATTGTGCCTGGTCAGTGGAAAAAGCTTTCGTTCTTGCCACTCATCAACTGTGCGGTCCGGCCATGCGGTACGTGATCGCATGGGTCGTGGCGGGGCTGCAAAAGTGGGAACAACGTTGCGAAAGCGAATCTGTCGCAGTCCGCACGGAAGTGATACATCTGAGATGATCACTGCTCGCGGATAATCCATCTGATCCAGTAAGCGTAGAATTCCACGATGATCCAGCTCTTCATGATGTGCATGTAGAAAAATTCCATGGTCATCTGATGTGTCATCATTGGCAAACATGAAGAAGTGTCTGTTCGACTCAAAAGTGTGGTCGACTGGCAAGCATAGAAAACTCTCATGCAGTCCAAACTGGATGACTTGGCAGTGAAGTCCCCAATGTCGTAGCTCGGCCACCAAATCTTCTGCTGTATAATCAATTTTCACTTCCACATAGTGCGGGACTTGGAGTTCATCTGCACCAGAGAGCAGACGTACGGCCGTCAGCCGCGTCTCATCTCCATTCATGTCGGTGTCAGGATGGCTCAACGGTGGAGCTAGCAGCTCGGCTAAATGCAGTGTTCGAGTCTCGGATGGCCGACAGTCATGCGCCACCAATCTGTCAGTTAGGCGCTCATCCCTGACTCTGGCGTGACTATGACGCTGTGTAGAAGCAATCTGCAAAAGATTGGCTTCATCTTCTGATTCTTGCATTTGCACTGGCTCCAATCCTTGGACGATAACCAATAATGGTCGAAGACGTAGGATGATGCTGTAACCACTTCGGCCCTGGAAAACTCTGTCCATTTGGATTGGTCGATTGCCAATCCATACCTCACAATCCCATTGTGCTCCGTCTCCTCTGCAGAATGGGGCCATCTGCGTGGCAAGCAGAATGTTTTCAGGCCATATGTGTTCATGTGTGGTGACAGCCATGCGCCAGTAATTGTCATTGTCCCGTCTAGTACTTTCCTCCCGGGTGACCAAGTTGGTGACCCAGCTTGGATTGGGGTGCTGAATGACAATCACATGGATCTCCGCATCCGCGGTGTTGCATGGAGGTTGGGGCTCGACAACATGGAATTCATGTTCAGCATTGACATCCCAAAGGTCATGCCATCTTCTCTGAATTTGATCTTCCCAGTTGGCATAGTCCTTGAAAAGTTGTTGTCGACGCTCCTCGAAACCATGTGGCTGCCCCCATCGGTGATCCACAAACCACGTCGCCAACGTCGTGGACTTGTCCTCATCCTCCCACGCAAAGGCGACTGCATCCCATCTCTCCCATAGATCCGCCATGAATTCTGAGAGAGTACGCAGATCCGGTGTTGATGGATCGAATGCTGGTGCATCTGGATTGAATTGAAAACCTGGGCAATGATGTCCGGTTACAGCTTGTGAAGCTCCGGTCGAAGCTGGTGAAATGGAGGGGCCAGGAGGACCTGATGATTGCATCAATGATGTGACATCACTGCTTTGGCCAATGGTTGGGCTGCCAATGCTCGTGACCACACTGTCGCCATCTTGCAACCTGGCCAATTCTTCACCTGCAAGCATCACTCCTCCATAAGTGCAGGTGCATTCTCTCCTATCACACCATCGCTGAATGCCCAGTATGTCCAGAATTTCCTGCTTCGTCGCGAACTCCTCAGCGAGAGCTGCAAAGTGCCATACACGACGATGGATAGGATGTTCAAATAGTCCAGAAACCAGAACCGGTACACCGGGTCCTTGACCTTGAACCAGAATCAAGTGCCCAATGTGTTGTGGATTGTCCGTCTCTGGAGGGTTCGGATGCACAAAGATGACCCTGGCCGGGGCAAATGGGTCCATTGCATCACGCCAGAGATCACAGAGTTCTGGGAACCAAAATTGTCGTGCCTCATCCAAGCGAAGAGTGCGCGACTCTGAGTTCCTTGTGTATCTTTGATAATGGAGATACCAGGTTTTCCAGTAAATGACTGGACCTTCATCTTCATGTTCCACTTCCGCACATTGACGAAATGCTGCTCTTGCAGGCACCATCCATGCTCTGGCATCCATTTGTGGGATGTGTGCAGGCCTAGTCACACCTGTGCCTGAGTCAGTTCTCGTACTGGCCAAACTTGGAAAAGCGGAACTGTGTTGGACAATATGCCCAGTACCGGTCTGGAAAAATGACGCTCCGTCTCCAGAATCAATAGTATCTCCATGCTTCGACTTCTTCAATGGTCTACTGCACTATGTAGCAGATTGTACCTTGACCTCTTGCTCGTCATTGCGCAGCCTTACCTCAAGTCTCAAATATGCACCATGAGCAAGTTCACGCGGAGCTGCATCCTCTTTTGCCCACAGTGCATTGTTGAGATGTAGTGTGCACCGATCTGCCTCAATGACGCAAGGGTCTGCCAAGTTCAGTTCCTGAAGGACTCCAGTTCTACTGAGATGCCTCGGGAAAACTTGAACTCGTCTATGATATGTGGGAGATCCTTGAAGTTGACCAGCAAAAGTGAGATCTACAATGACCAGCTTTGCCGGCGATCCACCTTCAATGTCTCCAACCCGTTGAATGATGATGGATTCTTCTGCTTCATGTTGATCGACTAGCGGCGCCTGAACATAATGAAAACCAACAGCAAGATCACGATGGAGTCCAACCGACTGTAACGCGTCAAAGAGGATGACATTGTAGGTTGTCCATCTCACAAAACAGTGATGAGCAGGCTGATGAAATTGGTGGATCCAAAGTCCTTGTAAAGCTTCCTCATCAAAACTGCTGGAAGATTCTTGATGTGGTTCAGATTCTCCTCCTTCTTGCTCATTCTCATTCTCAATTGGTTCTTCATCAAGAGTTTCAGCCTGGTCAATAGTTTCAGAACTCAAGGCTGGCAAGGCGCTCTCAATCTCGTTGTTCGTTTCCGTCTGCATATCCTGAAAAATAACCACAAATGTGTGTCCATTTGCCATCCAATGAGTTGGAACTGTCCCAATCGGCAGTTGAAATCCGGCATGAAAGACATCACAGGCATGCGAAAGTAGAAGATCTTGTGCCTCCGCTCCAGTAATGACGTCCATTCCACTGACATGCTCAGGCAAGGAAACTGCCAGAGTGGTGCTCAGATGTTCTTCAACTCCTGGAGGATAGACAGTGATGATAGCCCCTTTACGTTCAGGATCACCTTGAATCAGGACGAGATCGGCATGATGTTGTTTGTGCGTCGTTTGGACGCGAACTTCTGGGGTCGCAATGGCAATGTTGAGCAACTCATCATTATGGACGTGGTCTGACCAGGAAGAAAGCACCTTACGATGCCATGTCAAGACATCCTCTGTCAAGTCAATGAATCGTGGTACTCGCCAGACTGGATGATGAGTATGATGAATGTACCATGTGCGCACACAATAATGTTCTCCCTCAGCAATCCTCAGGTGATTGTCACGCCAAAGATGCTGTAGATGATTCACATAGTTTGGTAGTTCTTGTGGCAATCTTCTGTCCAGAAAATGTCGATTCGATGATGATGTTGCATCCCGGGAACTAGATGCTTGAGACTTGCTGCCGCCGGTTGGGTCAATGGGGCAACTGCGTGGTGAATGCCAAAATTGTGATATTGGTTGTCCATCGTAATGCCGTACACTCTCCTGCGGGAACTGTTCAGGAGCGCCTTTCCCCTGAAAGGCCTGGGGCGATTCGGCAAAACGAACAACTTTGCAAGGCTGTTTCTCACGAACTTCAACATCAACGTCGCCACGTGTTGGTAGAATAAATTGGTCAATACGAAGCTTGGAGTCATAACCCATCTCACATGCTAAGTCTGACGCTGTTTCAATTGCACTCCACGGGGACATAAACGTTGGTTCACTGAGAATTGAATGGCTCCAGTGTAAAACCACTGCAAAAGGGCAGTGTACTGGCTCCGGCCATAGACGGTCGTACATACAAGTCACGCTCCGTCGGCCTTGCGAAAAGGCTGCAAAGAGGGCTGTCGCCCACCAGCCTTTGAGTCTCCTGGGTTCTCGTCGTCCCTTGTACGAGGTCTTTTGGGCTTCGGCTCCAGTTTGTCTGCTGAGTCCGAGAGCTCCGTGAGGCTGGAGACTACATTGTTCAATCCTTCCTGGATTTTCTGTGCGTTTTCGTCTCTTGGAATCTCTTCTTCTTCTCTGGCTTCTGAGTCTTCCATCTCGTCTTCCGTGATGAGGCTGATGTCCTCGTCCTTGTTCATAGCATCTGCTCGCTTCTTGGCAATGTCCACTCTCCTCTGCGTACGTCGCAGGTGCAAGGTGGCTTCTTGCATCTTGGACTGGAAAGCAGCTTCCGATGCTTGAAATTGAGACGTGTATTCTTTCCACTTGACCACGGATTGTTGCAAGAAAACTTTCCACTGAGACCAGAGTTGCATTCTTGATGATTCCACTTCCAAGAGGGCTTCTTTCGCCTTCCCATTTGCTCTGACCGCTGCCAACAAATTGTTGGTGCTCTCCTTGTCGTCTTTCTTCATCTCTGCGTGCACAAGAGACTGGAATTCCGAAGACAGATTGTCTTCTTTCTTGGCCGCCTTGACGATCTTGTTGAGCTTTTGTTGTGCACTGAGTGCCGCTTTCCGCTCTTCCGCTTCCTCCATTGCATCTGCTTCTGACTGTTGTGGCAGGAAATGCATGGACGGCATAGCAGGCATGTGTTGATGAAGCCATGGAACGCCTTGCGGTGACGGATAACCACTCATCATAGGCGGTAGCGGCGGCAATGGTGCTGGTGCAGGCATTGGAAGCTGCTGAAAGCTCTGTGGAGTTCCTTTTCCAAGCCCTTTGAGATCCCATCCAGGAGGCATTGGAGAGGACGTCTGCTGCATCTGAGGCCATTGAGTTGCACTTCCAGGCCAATATTGCCCTGCAGGCGAATTTGATGGCTGTGCCGAATCTTTCCATTTGTTTTTCCTCCTTGACGACTGTCTCCGCTGCCTTGGGCTCTTCGTCCTCGAAGCAGTGTTCGCAGTCTGCCAAGAATTCCACTGGTCTGCTTTCTGTCCACCCTGCTTGGCCGTAGGGACTGCACAGCTCTCCCAACTCTGACCACACAGGTCGCAGTACCAGGCGCTCGGCGAGCGCATTTTCTTGCAAAAGCCACAAAGCCACCCAGATGCCTGTGAGCTCGTCATCTCTCGATGGATCTTGCAAAGGAAGCCAAAGTCCTTGGAGTGATGGGACAGCAGTGTTCCAAGAACTTTCCTGAGTCTTGCAGAACTCAGCGGAGTCAGGCCTTTGCGATGGTCGTGCCAGGCACGACGTGCCTTGGCTCGGGACCTCCGCAGTGCTCGACGCTGAGTTGCTGTTGCCGTCGCCCTCGACAGAGAAGATCACAAAGGAGTAGACAAGGAAGAAGAGCCACCAGGCAGACATACACAACAGCCAGGAAAAAGACCGTGAAAAAGGTGCCAGCCCGATCACGATGCCAAAGTCCAGGTTGAAGGTGCAACAAAGGTGTTGCGGTCCAGCCCTGTGACCGCAGAGCACAAGAATGCAAAGGCCGCCAGCCGCAAAGGGAGCACGCGGATGGCAGCCCGCGGGTAGTGGTGGCGAAAACCCGCTAAGGTGACAGGAAGGGGGCGCTTACGGTCCCTTTATTATATGATATATATATATATATATATGGGTTTGTCTGAAAATAGTGTACCCCTACAGCCAATGGTTTTGCTGATCATTATCCCTACTAAATGGCTATTTCATTGGGGGTATAGCCTATTTTCAGACATACCCATATATATATATATATATACTGTGTATTATATGATATATATATATATATATACAGTATATAGTATATAGTATATATTTAGTAGATGTATAGTATACATCATATGATAGTATCATATGTTAGCATCATATGATAGCATTACTCTATGATAGTATTATATAATAACAGTATAATTATGTTAGTTTTATATGATAGTATTATATGACAGTATGATATGATAGTATTATTCGAAACGACCCTTCTTGGCCAGGATTGCCTCCAAGCGGATCATCTGACTTTCAAACAGCGTCTCCATCTGTGACCTCTGGGCCTCCATCTGCGAAACGACCTGAGTCTGAAGTCCTTGCACCTGAGCAGTATGTTGCTTGTGCTGTGACCACACCTTCCAGTGACTGCTGTCGGGAGGCCAAGTGTTGCATTTGTTGTTCAAGCGCTTGGATCCTGGCATCATTCTCATCCTCCATCCTTTCGACTGGCAGCCTCTGCAGGATGGATTGCTCAACCCTTTCTTCGATCTCTTGGAGCTGCGTGCTGACATTGGGAGTCTGTGCAACCTGGACTGATCTGGCGGCTTGAGTCCAAGGGTCTTTGAGCAACCATGGATCTGACTGGTTGGCACTGCAAAGTTCAACTGTGCTTGATAAGGCATAGACTGTGGCTATTTGGGGTTTTTCAACATTGCAACGCATTCATGAGACGTGTTCTACACGAAGTTGTCGACGCTTAGGCACCTTTCAATCACAGTGGAATTCAAAACAGTCCAACGCACTCATGTCACAGGAGTGCACTAGTTGTGGTTGTGCAGAAGATTTGGTGGCAGTGCAATTTTTCGACACAAGGTCAAAAATTCAGGTCAAGTTTCGTAATTATCCAGGTCACGACCGGGCACTTCAAACGTGTTCCAAACCACCAACCAGTTACCATTGATTGCAAAATATTCAAGCACTAAAGTATCTAACCAAGCTTGACCCAGTACCCAGTCATATGGGAATAATAGGTGTTGACCCATCCCCATATGTAACCAAATAACCGAACATCTCACGCCCCCTCCATGTTGATGTCCCCAAAGTCCCCGACCCTCCATGTTCTCCAAGGTCAAGGTATGTTCGAATCCATAGGACCTGAAGGCTGCTGCGGAAACATCCACCAGGTCATGTACATGTATGGTGTATATGTGTATACATATTATATATACATACATACATACATACCTACCATACCATACCACACAACACAACACAACACAACACAACGCAATGCAATGCAACGCAATGCAATGCATTAATGCAATGCAATGCATTAATACAATACAATACAACACAATACACAATACACAATACACAATACACAATACACAATACACAATATACAATACAATACAATACAATACAATACTTACTTACATTATATTATATTATATACATTACATTACATTACATACCGTACCGTACCGAACCGTCCAAAACCATACCATACCATACCATCCCATACCAGCGTAGAGGTTTCCCATTCCCAAACAAATGCTGATGCAACTTCACAAAATTCCTATGGGAAAAAAAAAAGGTACTAGGGAATATTAAACTCCCACCCCCGTTAAACCTTAAATTCCTATGGGAAAAACAACAAAGGTACTAGGGAATATAAAAATCCCCCCCGTTAAACTGTACATTCAATTGGGAAGATCAACAAAGGCACTAGGGAATATTAAACTCCCACCCCCGTTAAACCTTAAATTCCTATGGGAAAAACAACAAAGGTACTAGGGAATATAAAAATCCCACCCCCGTTAAACTGTACATTCAATTGGGAAGATCAACAAAAGGTACTAGGTAATATTAAACTCCCACGCCCGTTAAACGGTACATTCATTGAAGATCTTCAATAAGGGCTTAATTCTCCCACCCCCGCTAAACCTCTACATTCATTGAGGATCTTCAATAAGGGTTTAATTCTCCCACCCCTGTTAAACTTCTACATTCATTGAAGGCCTTCAATAAGGGTTTAATTCTCCAACCCCCGTTAAACTTCTACATTCATTGAAGATCTTCAATAAGGGCGGGTTTAATTCTTCCACCCCCGTTAAACTTCTACATTCATTGAAGATCTTCAATAAGGGTTTAATTCTGATGATGATGATGATGATGGTGATGATGGTGATGATGATGATGATGATGATGATAATGATGATGATGATTCGTCGCCTGTCGTCATTGCGGGTCCGGGCAAAGCCCAGGCATTTGCCGTACATATATATATATATATATTTATTTATGTATTTATTTATTTATTTACCTACATACATATTACATATACATATATACATATTACATAGAGAGAGAGAGAGAAAAGAAAAAAAAAAGAAGAAAAAACGATATCTGCAAATATACATAAAGATTATAAATGCCATGCCTGGATAAACCTAACCTCCTCTGGGTTCTATATCCTGCATCATAGCCACATCCTGAAAGTAGAATCAGACTATTATACGTAGGACGCTAAGTTTTGACATTTCCTGGGTGAAACCTGAAGTTGGAATTGTACCCGAGGGGGGTTCAAGCGCCCTGGGTGCACCACGTCCGAAGAAAACTTGATCATTTCCCAGGGGAAAGAAGTGGTTGTTTTCCATAGATCTATGGTTATGACTAACATAGCCATGGTATAGATGGCCCATTGAAATAGATGATTTTCCCAGCTATAAACCTCCATTTATGGTTGGGATTTTCCATGGCTTTATGGTTGGGATTTTCCATGGCTATGCTAAATTTTATTGGAGCATACCTGCCCAAGAAAGACGGAAGCCGAAAGTGCCAAAGAAACGTACCCTCCGGTGTCAAACAAAGTCCTTCATCTATGTGGGTAAATTATCATATTTCACTAACCTGAAATTAGGCTATTTTTATGATGAAATCCCTATTGTTGCCCCAACAATTCCCATCATTCCAGGGTTCGGTCGCAGTCATCATGCGATTTCCCAGCCCCCTTGGGCCCCTTGGGGCTCTCGGCTGCTTGAAGGCCGTCTTCAAGGACTCCAACTGCTGTTTCTGGCAGCGAAAAATTGGGGAAGTTCATCCCAAAGAATTGTTATTTTCAGAAGCTACCCTCTGGTAAACATACAAAAAACTATGGAAAATCACCATTTTTCATGGGAAAATCCACTATTTCAATGGTCATTTTCAATAGCTATGTTAAATTACCAGAGGCTATCAAAGCATATCAAAGCATAATTCTAGCATGGTTCTTAGATGGTTCTTAGACGGTTCTTACCCAATTTGTTTGCCTCATGTGAGGCGGATACCAAGGTCCCAGTGATGTACTTGCTGCTGGTTCTCTCATCATTTCGTTGCATGTATCTGCACCCACCACCTCCAAAACACATCCTTCAAATTTGTATGGTGTCAAGCCATTCTAGGTTTCAGGTTTCATGTTTAGCTGGAATATCCCCGCACTTCTGGGTGATTCCTCTGAAAACTGGAGATATCCGATGGCTTCCAAACCATGCTTTGTTGTCAGAAGGTGTGACGGCGTGGGCCAAAGCTCATGGAACCCAACCAGCCTTTTTTGTCATATTTGCTAATATTGATGGCTAGCCTTACACAGCCTTAGATACCAAAAAAATAGAAACAAGAAAACGGAAAAGGATGGAGAAGGTTAGATTTACCACTGTCAAAAGAATGGATTGGACACCTACTGTAGTTTTTTTAGCGGGAAACATCAGCTGTATTCAATTTATAATGATCTACATCCTGGAAATACTCTTCGGCTTTCGGTATCTTTTTGGTGCTTGCTATAAAATTTCAAAGAAACTCCCATCACTTGAATTTGTTTCAAGACAGCCCCAAAAAAATAAAACATGCCCTCTGGTTGTTTAAATGTTTAACGTAGCTATCGAAAATCACAACTTTTAATGGGTAAATCATCATACATCCTCTATAAATGGGCCATTTTCCATAGCTATGTAACAAATAACCAGAGGGCCAGAGGGTGTGTTCCCCATAGATCCACCTAATATTTCCTGGATTTTACAGGCAAATGAAGGATCCATCAGATCACTCAACAAGTCTCCGCCTTAATTCCGTTGTTCACCAAGGAATGCAAACACAGCAAGCGCAAGGCCTTCCAACATGCTCAAGAGCGAAGAAACGATCCAACATGATTCATGGTCATTTTTTCGACATCTTTTTCAATGAAACGTATTGATTCATTGATAGTTGGGGGTGTTCTTAAAATGGGGAGATCCCAAAAACACCATAGTGGCTTTCAGTGTTTCTTCTGAAGACCTTCAAATTTTGGAAATACTATGAAATATACTTCACGGTAAATTGATGCGAATTGGATTGTTTAAATATGTGCCATTTCCAGTTGAAGTAGTCTTGCAACTGTTTCAACCCATCCCAAAATTATCAGCCAACTGAGATCACTGTCTCAGGTAAAGATCAACAAGCAGACATACCTTGAACATCGCGACTATGAACCATGTTTTCTTGTCTCATCCCCCACCTTTGTATTTCGTCAAATCCCCCATTTTCTGACATCAAATGGTCATCATCCATTCTCGTTTTCCAGTCCGGGCCTGATTTTTTGGATGAACACTTTTTGATGAAATACTGTCCAAATGTTGATGTGAGGGTTTCCATAGTCATGGGGG